AATGAGAGCATAAGGTCTCCTTGAGCTTCCTAGTGTGTGGGCCAGCCTTTGAGTTCCTCCCACTGTGCTGGGTCCATTCAACGACCAGCATGGAAGGAGTAGGGCCATACTTCCCTGTCTTCCTTCTCCATGGGGGAATGGTTTCTCTGTGAGTGCCCCGGGAGAATAATACCTGTCGTTACTTCCTTCTAGAATACAGAAGGATTAAACTAGCCTGAGCAAAGCCTGTCATTTTGCTGGTAAGAAACACTAATTTGCTTCATATTTACACACATCTAACTCTGCAGTTTTACCCAATAGCCAAGGCTCAGATCTTCAGAGGACCCAACTCGTATTTATTTCATTGGGAATTAGGCACCTAATTATCTTTGAGGCTCTGGGGCCAAGTGGATTTCCACACCATCCATAGCTTTACAGATCTCTGCTTTCCCTATAAGGTCACATGAGAGAAACACAAGTTTTGACATGGTACTTTCATTTACCCATAATAAAATGGACACCAGTGATTCAAAAGCTATAATAAACACTGTGCTGCTGGGCCCCCCTCTTGTTCCTTTCTGGTACATTCCTAGAAGCTGGAGTGCTTGTCACGGAATGTGTTTCTCTGATACCAGTGTAAGCTTACAGGAAACCTGGATGTATTGCACCACCAGCTGATTTAACCCAGAAAATATGATTCCCTTCAGGGTGAACAGATTTCATCTGGTTGTAATTTGGTAGCAAACTGACCCATCTCTAGTATAAGGAAATAAAATATGCATGTGTTGCCAACAAGTGGATATAATTCCAGTGTTGAAGTGTGGACACTCTGGATAATTTCACATTGAATCAAACTGATCTCAGGCTAAACTGATGGAAGGCTCAGCATTGCAGTTCTGGAATACTGTATTTGAAATGTTCCCGGGGGGATATTTAATTCCAATACAGATTATAACAGAAGACCAAACAAAAAATGCTGTTATAATTAAAGCACTGACTAAGGATCAGGAATGTATGGGTTCAGTTCTTGGCTTTACTACAGACTGTGTGTGTGAAAAGAGGATAATCACTCAATAGCTCTGTGCCTCAGTTCCGCATCTGTAAAATAGGGATATTCCCTTTTTTCATCTTGTTTAATAAAATTGTAAGCTCTTTGCAGCAAGGACTCGCTGGCCTAAGAATCAGTGGGAGGTAGGTGTCCAAATACCTTTGAGGATCTGGATCTCTCTTACTATGTGTATATAAAATACTCAGAACAATGGGACCTGGATCTTCGTTGGCACCTGTAGGTGCTACATTCATAAATAATAGTTTTGCCATCTTCATTTTGATATTATTCTCCCTATGTAGTTCAGACATTATCTCCAGCAAGTTCTTGGAATGTACTGGAGACATTTTTTTTTTAATTTCAGAAGGTGAGAAAGCTATTGGAGGGAAGCAGTTCTAGATTTGATTTTAACAAGTAGGAAGGAATTGATTGAGAATTTGAAAGTGGAAGGCAACTTGGATGAAAGTGATCATGCAATGATAGAGTTAATGATCCTAAGGAATGGTAGGAGGGAAAAAAGCAAAATAAATCAATGAATTTCAAGAAGGCAGACTTTAATAAACTCAGGGAATTGTTAGGGAAGGTCCCATGGGAAGCAAGTCTCTTGGGCTACGTCTACACTGCAGTGCTATTTCAGGATACCAGAGGTATCCCAAAATAGCTATTCTGCGTCTTTTGAGCATACCTGTTATTTCAAAATATAACAGGCTTACTATTATGGCATCCCTCTAAACCTCATTCCACAAGGAGTAAGGGACATTTCGGAATAGCGATTTATTTTGAAATAACTGCTGAGTAGACAGCACTACATTTTGAAATAAGCTATTTCAAAGTTGACTCAAAATAAGCTATGCAATTTGCATAGCTCAAATTGCATAGATTATTTCGAGCTATGAGTGCAGTATTGACACACCTTAAGAGGAAAAAAAAATTGGAGAGTTGGCAGTTTTTCAAAGGGACATTATTAAGGGTGCAAAAGCAAACTTTCCTACAACACAGGAAAGATAAGAAGTACGGAAGAGACCACACTGGTTTAACCAGGAGATCATGAGTGATATGAAAATCAAAAAGGAGTCCCACAAGAAGTAGAAACTAGATCAAGTTATAAAGGATGAATACAGACAACAAAACTATGTATGGGGCAAAATTAGAAAGGCATAGGCTCAAAATGAACTCAAACTAGCTAGTGACATAAAGGGTAACAAGAAAATATTCTACAAATGTTTTAGAAGGGGAAGGACAGGTTGGAACCACTACTCAGTAAAGAGGGGAAAACAATAACAAAAATGTGGAAATGGCAGAGGTACTTAATGGCTTCATTTTGGTTGTCGCTAAGATGGCTGGTGGTGATTGTACACCTAGCATTGTGATTGCTGGTGAAAATAAGGTAGGTTCCGGAGTTAAAAAAAATTAGAAAAAGAATAAATTAACAATTACTTGTACAAGCTAGATGTCTTCAAGTTCCCAAGGCCTGATGAAATGCATCCTAGAATACTCAAAGGAGCTGATTGAGGAGATATCTGAGCCATTAGCCATGACTTTTCAAAGATAATACAAGACAGGAAAGATTCCAGAAGCCTGGAAAAAGCCCACCTATAAAAAGGGAAATAAGGACAACCCAGGAAATACAGGCCAGTCATTTTCACTTTTGTAACAGGAAAGATCATGGCACAAATAATTAAGGAATCCACTTGCAAACATCTAGAAGATAATGAGAGAAGAAACAGTCAACATGGATTTTTAAAGAACAAATCATGTCAAACTAACCTGATAGATTTCTTTGATGGCATAGCAAACCTTGTTGATAAGAGGAAGTAGTAGAAGTGGTCTACCTAGACATTAGAAAAGCTTTTGATTCAATCTCAAATGTCTTTCTCATTAATAAACTAGTGAAATACAACGTAGAGTGGACTACTATATAGTGGGTGCATAACTGGTTGATTATTCCCAGAGAGTAATTATCATGGCTCGACAAACCGCGGCGAAATCCACTTGCCAGCCCCACACCATGCATGCGCCAGACCCGCACTGCGCATGTGTGCACCGCCAGTGAACAGGGCGACCGGCTAAAATCTACTCGCCACAGGTGAGTAGATAAAAAGGTTTGTCGAGCCCTAATAATTATCAATAGTTCACAGTCATTATGGAAGGACATAATGAGTGGGGTCCCACAGAGCTTGGTAATGGGTCTGGTTCTGTTCACTATCATCATCAACGATTTATATAATTACATATAGAATATGCGTATAAATTTTGTGGAAGATCCCAAGCTGGGAGGGGTTGCAAGTGCTTTGGAGGATAGGATTATAATTCAAAATGATCTTGACAAACTGGACAAATGGTCTCAGGTAAATAGGATGAAATTCCATAAGGACAAATGCAAAGTACTCCACTTGGGAAGGAAAAATCAACTGCACACATGCAAAATGGGAAATGACTAGGGTTGCCAGGTGTCCGGTTTTGAACCAGACAGTTCAGTATTTGAGCGTTCTGTTCGGGAAACAAATTGAGAAAATATAAATGGCCGATATTTTCTAAATAAGATGTAATGTAGATTGTGATGTAATGTCAAGTGTGTCCAGTATTTTTGCTGAAACCATTTGGCAACCCTAATGACTGCCTAGGAAGGAGTATTGCAGAAAGGGATCTAGAAGTCATAGTGGACCGCAAACTAACTACAAGTGAACAGTTTGACACTGCTGCAAAAAAAGCAAACCTCATTCCAGTATGTAAAAACAGAAGTGATATAAGCCAGTGTTTCTCATCCTTTTTTATAAAGTACCCCTTCACAAAAAATATATATATATAAGTACCCCCAGTACCTACAGTTTTCAGACACACAATTTTTTTCTACCATTGCAACACCTTTGTTTAAACAACTTCATCGTAGCAGGGTGGGCGTTGAAATTTGTGGGTCTAGAAAGTACAAAAATAATAAAACGCAATAAAACTTAAAACAAAAATTCAGTTTTCTCCAAATTTCAATTGTGTTGACATATCCCCCACACTTCTCTTGAGTACCCCTAAGGGTACTCGTACCACTGGTTGAGAAACACTGATATAAACAAGACACAAGCAGCAAGATTTCCACTCTACTCTACACTGATTAGGCCTCAGATGGAGTGCTTAAGTTTACTTCCCTAAGTAGTCACATTGATTTCAATGGGAGTAGTCCCCACAGTATAGTTAAGCATGAGTAAGCATGAGACTGGGATGTGGGGGTGCAGGAGTCTTAGCTGGTGTGTATAATGGGCACAGGGTTGGAGTGTGGGGGTGCAGGGATGTTATGGCAGGGGCTGGGGTTGTGGGGGGTGCAGGAGTCCAGGTTGGGGTGTATAAGGGGCTGAGGACAGGGGGGTTGAGGTGTATGATGGGCTAAGGGAACAGGGTTGGGGCTTGGGGGGGTGCAGGGGTGTTATGGCAGGGAGCTGGGGATGAGAGGGAGTTTTGGGCCAGATTTAACCTGAACTACCCCAAATTTCCAGCAGGCATCTGGAAAAATTCCCAGGCACAGAGCGGCTCCACTGCTGAATTCAATGATCCTTTAGCAATATATTTTTCAGTAGTCACTTTGATTTGTAAACCGGGACCCAGAGCTACTTATCCATCAGTCTCCTCTCAGAGTTGCTTGAGAACGGCCAAGTATTATTTATTATATTTAACCTGAACTACCCCAAATTTCCAGCAGGCATCTGGAAAAATTCCCAGGCACAGAGCGGCTCCACTGCTGAATTCAATGATCCTTTAGCAATATATTTTTCAGTAGTCACTTTGATTTGTAAACCGGGACCCAGAGCTACTTATCCATCAGTCTCCTCTCAGAGTTGCTTGAGAACGGCCAAGTATTATTTATTATTATTATTATTATTATTATTTATTATCATCTCTGTGGCATTTCAGACGTGGGTTGAAAGTCGGCGGGGGGACTTTGGGCTGGCTGCCCCCAGGAGGCGGTAGCCTCTTCTGGAAAAACGACCTACGTCTGAGTGGGAGGATCCTGGCTTAGCAACAGAGTCGGGGGGTGTCTGTAGTGGAAGGAGGGAGGAGATAAAGCGGAGAAACAGCCTAGCACCTCGCCAGTCAGCGGAAGTCCCAAAGGAAAACAGAGAGGACCACCCTCTACAAGAGCTGCGGCGCTTTTGCTCGCTCTGATTTAACAGGCCCCGTCTGGCAGGCAGCTCTGCCCACCGACCTCTGCCGCCATGGGAGTGGAAGGCTGCACCAAGTGCATCAAATACCTGCTCTTCGTCTTCAATTTTGTCTTTTGGGTGAGTGCGCGTCTTCCCCCCTGGTCTCGCGGCGCTGCAGGGGGCGGCGTGGTGTCTCCTGCGATGCGTGGGGGGCTGTGTTGTGTTTTCTCCTCCTGGCTGGGGGGGGGAGAGATTCCCTCCCCCAAACAATGCAGCGGGCTCTGCAGTTGCTTGGCGTGAGCGGGAGGTGCAAAACCTCCTGCCCCGAACCGCTACGAGCGATGAGGGAGCTGCAGAGGGCTTGGAAGATGGAGGAGGCTTAGCCCAGGAAAAATGGTTGTTGCATTGGAAACACACAAGGGCCTGAGCCGTGAGCTCTTCCTATCCTGCTAAGGAACCGTTCAGAATTGGGTTTTTTTTAAAAAAAAAATATCCCCGTAAATCTAGAGGTGGGTTTTAACGGGCTGTTACATTCGGAAGGCTTTCGTTGATTGATCCAGGGTTAAAATGCACCGACGCCCTCCAGAGTTAGTAAACCACCTGTAAACTGAATTGGTAGACGCTTGGGAGGCATGGAGGAGCTCTGTTTATCTCTGCTGAGTGGAGAAGGTGTGGGTACTAAGTCTGGTGCGTAGTTACATAACATCTGAGGGTGTTTCGCTCGTGGGAATGAGTTATAACTACATCTGCAGACCGATTTGTCTTCTGGCGTTCTAGTAGATGGGCACTAAATAATCACTAAAGCGTGCAAACCCGTGATTAGAGGCTGGAAACTGGAGTCAGACCTGTTCCCCCCCTCCCTTTCCTTTCCTTTCTTTAAAAGGGGGGGGGACCTCTTCTATAAAGATTTTTTATCTTAAACCCGTGATTAGAGGCTGGAAACTGGAGTCTGCCCTGTTTCTCCCCCCCCCCTTTCCTTTCCTTTCCTTTTTTTTAAAGGGGGGGAACCTCTTCTATAAAGATTTTTTATCTGTGTAATTAGTTTTGATGCCAAATGTTCTAATATGTAGAGTGAAGTTGGCTCTAAAAAACAAATTAGCTCAAAATGAGGAGACACGTAAACCTGATTTTAAAAAAATCTATCTAGTGCTCCTCCTCTTCTGGTATTGCGAACAGGGAATCCGGACAGAGTGGGGGAGGATGTTTCCCAGCCTTGAGATATGAATGGGAAACTGTTGCTGTGAGATTAAGACTGAGAGTTAGGGTTGGTTGCTTGGGAAAGGGCTGCTACGGGTAGGAAGGAGAGAGTTAAAAGCCAGTTAGTTGTTTATAAGCTAGACAAATTAGGACGAGCTACATAGAAGGGCGATCTACACCCCTCCCATCGTCTCGCACTCTCTCCCTGCTTGGAGAATTTTGCAGGGACCACACCCCGAATCTCGGGAAAATCTTTGCCTGAGTTTCCACGGCTCTAGATTTTAGAAGAGATCCGGTTTTGGTTGTTTTTAAGTAACGGTCTGAAGAACTTGAGCCCTGTTGTTTTTCATGTTATTTGAGAAGTAAATCTTACCCTGTACATAGCAAGAGGGGTTTTCTAGTAGTTGCCTGCAATGAATAGTTAATCAGCTCTACACCACTGTGTTAATTGAACAATAGGTTGCATAGGCCTGTCTGTGTAATAAGGTCAACATGTTTGTCCCAGTTATGAGCCCCCCCCCCCCAGGGTTTTTTGTGGGTGAAGGGCTGTGTTCTTTGTTCTGTTTGGCTATTTATTTCTCATGCCTTTTCCTTCCTGAGTTGGAGCTGATGTGTCCAGTTATTGCTGGACATGTTAGGGTCAGTCAGTGATGCTTTGGTGCTAGGATGACCAGGGCTGTCTCAGATGATTGGTGGTTCTTGCAGCTTTTTTACAGCCTGTGCAGTAGTGGAACACCACCTCCCTGCCCTGCTTTTGCTGGCAGGAAAGGATACATCCGTTTTCACCCTACTTTTAAACTGAATTGACCGCATATATTTCCATTGATCGGACCCCACCACTGAGCAGCACCATCTCAGAGAGGCAGTTTAGACTAGAGGGAGACACTGCTGGGAACTCCTTTTCATTCCCATGAAATTCTGGTTCCCTGGGAATCCCTGGCTCCGCTGACAGCTAGAAAATGCAGTGCCTGGAACTGTGAAATGAAGCGTTCACTGAGGGTGAAGTCTGAAGTTTTTAAAAAATATTATTTTGAAACACCCATTTCTTCTTGGTTGTGTGAACTGACAGCACTTGTTCAAGATAATCTGTTTATATGATTCCATCCCCATCCCACCCCAGCTAGTGAAAGATGATTATCTACAAATGTCTTCTTTTCTGGTTTGCTGGTCATAGACACAGGAAACACTGCTTTAACCGATAACTGATTGTGTTTTCTGGGGATTTCCTATTTATTTGCTTCCCTGGGCTCCAGCTCTCCTCTCCTCAGTAAGTTGGCAGCACTTTTAACTTGGGCCATACTGCCAAGCATGCCTAATCTGCAAGTAGCTATACTGGCAAAGCTGTACTTATAGCAGTATAATGTATTCCACACACCTACAGTCCCATCCCCCCCCAACACACACACAGTACCAGTAAAAAATAAAAAAAAGTCTAAGGGGTAGCTGTGTTAGTCTGTAATTTAAAAAAAATTCCCACGTCCAGCCCTTTTAATTAGCTTCATAATTGTCCGATAATGTCTGATGATGTCTTCATAATAGTCTGATAATTGTCCGGTACTTCTTTTGCATTTATATATACACCTTGGATTCTGTTATTTCCACTCCAACTCATCTGATGAGCTGAGCTCATAATCCTATATGTTTTTGTTAGTCTCTAAGGTGCCATAGGACTACTTATTGTACCAGTCAAAGCACAATTTTGTTAGTATAATGACATCTGTAATAGGGGCTGGCATAGCTGTGTCTGTCTGGGACCATGCCACTGATTGATGACTAATGCCAGCAGAAGTCTGTAGTGTAGATGTGATCTCATTTTGCAGTGCTGTGAACTTCTCTGGCACCTTTCCTCAGAAGATCTTGAATATTTACAAGCATGGATGGCTTAATCAACATGGCTCTGGCCATGAAAGCATCAGTTCCATTTTACAGATAGGTAAAGTGACACCCAAGGGCATCCAGAGAGCAAGTTTTCAATCTGGGAGTGGAACTTCAGACTTTTTGCTGTTCCAACTGCTGGACCACATGTCTGCCCTCTGTTATCCTTTCCCATGTATTCAGTACTACTGTCTGGACACACTGGCATCTCCTTAATTCCCCTTTAAAGTAAGTTCAACTGCAACCCACCCTTGTTGCACTGCATGTTCTCCAATGTAATAGCTCCCTATGAAATCATAACCAGAACGTAGACACTTCATCTCTGGTGTACATTCATGTTTAAAAATGAGCCTCATGCAATATTTCCAACAGTCTCATTATAACAAGATTGTAGAAAATTAGCATCTTCATCTAAGCACTATATTTTGGAGTCACTGCTCTTTCCTTCTTTGTTCCTTCCCAGTTACCTAGTTCATCAAGGAGCTTTTTCTTTTCTTTGTCCTAGTTTCCTGGCTTAGTTGTGGGTTTTTTTGAGTGTTGGTTTTTTTTTTTTTGACTGGGGGGGAAGTTGTTCTTTGTGGCGACGCTAAGCTCCAGCAGGAAGGATGTACAGCAACTATATGAACAACATGCAGTTGCAGAGCAAACCTGCCTGTTCACATCCACCCTGGTCTGTCTCATAGGAAATGACTGTTTTCCTAATTGTGTCAATGTTGCTTTTTCGTAGAGACTAGTGCACTCTCTTTTCTCTCTTTTGAAAATGTCCTTAATGAAGAGACCCTTTCCTGCGTCTGTCAAGAGAGGGACAGAGCCTCCTCCCCCCTCTGCCTTCCTTTCCAATAGAGCTATTTTATTTGACACTGGGAGGAGGAGGAGGTGGTCAAGGACTGGTAGAGCTGGAGTTGTGCTCTAAGTTCATTAGGAGGGCTGTTTAATAGTGGCATTTTGCACCTACTATTAAAAGCCATGGCCCATGTTTCCAGAAGTGACTAGTGTGTTTTGGCTGCCTAGCTCGAGAGATCCTGATTGCTCCTTCTTCAGAGAAGGAATAGAAGTGCCTCCTATTTGTTCCATGAATAATGGAATGTTCAGACTGTCAGAAATGGTCCTGAGAGGCATTGAACTCCCCAAAATACAGGATGTCTAGTCCTAGTGCTGGAATCTCCACCAGGAAGAGAACACTCTAAAGAGGCAAAGCAAACGTACCTACAGGCGTGTCAGCAACACACAGTGGCAATTATTCTGCTGATTTAAGGATTGGCACAAAGGACTCCCTTGTAAATCTGTTTTGGAACTGGGAGCAATAGCATGGGAACCTCATAGGTGGCAGAAGCTTCATCAAGTGAGCTGTTTCGAACCCAGCACAGATGACAGACTGCTTTGGCCCTGTTGAGCCTCCATCCATTGTTGCCATCCTTGTTCCCACTCAGGACTAAGAGTTGAGAACTATGCCCGCCCATCATTCTGAAGGTTTTGACTGGTACCTTTCCATGGGTAGTTGGTTGTGGTTGGGATCAGCACGTAAGCTGTGTCTGTCTCCACTACTGACCCTCGTTATCAAGCAGTTTCATCCCAAATGATGCTTGCTTAGAGGCTCAGAAGCTGGGAGATGTCTTGGGGCAGTTGTGGGCAACCCTGTGGCCCAGTGAGGTCGTAAGTGTGGCCCACGATACCACTGGTTTCAGTCCATGTAGTTTTTTTCCTATTGGTATGCAAGTGCAATTAGCAAAACTGCCTTATCCCAGGGGACTGTCTTGGTTACAACAACCTTGCAGCCCACTGAGTTGGAGGGCCACTCACGTGGCCCATTCACTAGCCTGAGTTGCCCACTGCTATCTTAAGGTATCTCTACACAGCTAGGAACATTCCCTCTCCCCCCCAGCCTTGCAGAAGCAAGTCTCAGCCCCATTCAACTGACACAGGCTTGCAGGGCTAAAAATAGCCATGTAGATGTTTGAACTGGAGCCTGGGCTGGGGAGGGTCTCGGAGCAGCTGGAGCCTAACCCTCTACCTGTCTATTTTTAGCCCATTGCCTCAGTCAGTTAAGCCATGCCTGAGACTCGCTG